TGAATTGCAGCGGAATAGCTGCGCTTGATTGTGTTGGTATAACAAAACTGAAAATAGTGGAAAAAAAGCAAACGAAACCCACCAGAGCGATTGACAGAAACTCCAACACATTCACAACGAAAACTAACACATATGCAAAATTTTATATGCCAGTGTGGCTCTGTAGGGAATGACTGTTATTTGATCGATCAAGTGAGTGTCAATGCTGATAGAAGTAACGGTAGTTGGTTGCCATAGTAACCACAAGATTCACTAGGGCTGCATTTTGTGCTCAACAAAAGTAGTTGTACCTGCCAAATAATGTCGAGTACTGAAGTACTTGGATATAATTTTGAACTTAATTAGTTTAATTTTAATTTTATCATTATTCGACCCCGCTCATAGCAAAATTAAAAATAAAAGTTTTCATTGTGGTATGACATTCCTTTTATATATGAACGTAATAAATAAAACCGTATTATAAAGTACTTGGTACTGAAGAAGTTCAAATGCGCACATCAACAGAAAAAAGAAAGACGCAAAACGAAAAGATGCTCAAAACTTAAAGTGCTGTGGAAAAATAAAGATAAGTTTTATAAAATGTTTCATTTAAAATGAATAAAAGGGCTTTTAATACCGCCATGAGCAAGAAAAACGGATTTACGAATCCAATATTAAAAAATTGCATTGCATCGCCAGTTCTCTACCACTGCAGTCCTATTGCGTTGTGGATTTAATAGAAACAAAATTAAAAGATCCAGAGTATGCACAATCCATGATAATGAATTATATTATGGAATACATATTTCACGTTCTAATTGCTGTACATAAATTTTTCAAAGGTCAATTACATATATCAAAAATAAAAGCTGTGTCTGAGGACGTAGCCAGCGGTATTAAACATTCATTTTCGGACGAGGCATTGCTGCAGCTTAACTGTGACGGCAGATGGGAGAGAAAACCACTAAACAAACTTATACTGGTTGACACAATCCTACGAGGTAATATGTACACATATTAGGGACACAACAAGTTCTGACCATTTATTTTTTCGTTATTTATTTATAACTATATACCTATATATAAACCTTTTTAACATACTTTGTCAAAAATTCTCAAAAATCGACGCAAATAAATAAATAAATAAATGGTCAAAACGTATAAATAAATATTATCCCTAATTATGTGGCCACTACCGTATACATATGTACATATCTTTTAACAATACAAATGTTTTGATAATCTATTTCAATCCA